CAAGAAAGGGAACAATTTTACATCTCAGTGACGATCTTCCATTGAATTATCCTCTAAAAAGCAGCAGCAATAAATTACTATTTTAAAGATGAGAGTCCCACAAGTCATGTCAATGAAGTTTCAGTTGCAGGTTCTCCCTTTTCCCTGCAGTCTGCCCTTACAAAATGCAGCTGTCAATACCATTTGGCTGACATAGCTGGCTGCAAGCTCCACCTCCATTGCAAGTGAAACAAAAGGCTCTCCTCTCTCTCCCCCCCTCTCTTCACCTGCTCATCCCTTCTCTGAGGCTGCAAGGTGGCCTGAGCTCACCAGGTGCCTGGGCAGCCGATGGGGGGGAGCCTTTCTGCATTGTCTTAACTGTAACTCACAGACCACATACTTGAAGGCAGTTGCCAGACACAACCTTGGAGATGCACTTATTTGGATAATTTCTCTGTTCTTTGAATGAGGACAAAATTTAATGACCCTTACAAAAAAAGAGAGGCTAAATCCACAAGAAGATTAACCTTTGCTTGGTTTTTTGTTTGTGTGTTTGCTTTTTAAAATCAGAGATCTCCGTTGAAAATTCGCGAGGTTGACAGGCACTGTTTAAGCAAATTTTAGATGGTAGACAAATACAGAGCAATAAAGCAAGGTTTGAACAGAGCCGAGGAAGGACACGGCAGAAAACAGAGCATCGCAGCGCAGCCGACTGCTTCTCTCCGGCTCGGAGCATGTTTGGAAGCAGCATGAGCTCCATCCAGAGAGCTAGGTGAGAACTGCACGTGAGGACAGACAACTCACCTAACCTTGTTAAAAACTTTCTTTGCAAGACTGGCTTTCAGAGAGTCTGGGTTAAATCCATGTTTCGATCGCAGAAAGAGAGGAACGGAGGGAGGGTAGAATGAATTTATTAGATGTTATCTCGTTACACTGTTTTGTTACAGAGGGAAAGTCAAACCTTCACTCCAAAGCACACAAGGGCTAAAACGACAATTCTCGGAAATCTAAACTGCAAAACAGTTGTTCCCTAAATCGAATAGACTAACAGATTTGATGCTTTTGATATGGTTTGTCCTCATCAAATTAGTAGTATCCCCTCTGAGCAACTTAAAACAACAGGACAGACACAAAGAGAGTCACAGATGGAGAAACATTACTGTGATTAGATAGAGCTGACAGGCTGCCTAAAGCAAAATTCAAGCATCGATTCTACCAGAGGGCCTTTTGTAAGTCCTTTGGAGGTCGATGGTCCCTTTGATTGCAAAACATCAGGCTGACAGCAAGGTATACAAGTTTGGTCTCAGCCAAGCAAAAGAAAGGTGGGCACCAGTCAGAAGACAGGCAGCAGAAAACATGGAAAACAGTGAGTTTCCAAATCACAGAGACTATTTGCAGCTAATTCTCTTTAAAGCCTGCCAAGCCATTTGCATTACCGTGTTGTCATCTAAAGATACAATCACCATTAGGAGCGTAAGAGTTTTTCTAGGAAGGCTCTCCATGCTCACAGTCCAGACACCCAGATCTCACATTGACCTTATTCTTCTTTCAGGAAATGAGTAAAAATTTTGTTAATGATTAAACTATGCCTGAAGTTAAAGAAAGGATTAATGACAAATTAAATGGATCAGGACCAGTAAACAAAACTCACTAGGTTTCTACAGTTCCTTTCTTTCCAGAGCATTTGAAAAATTAAAAAATGCAGTGAGATTAAAATTCAGAGAAAAAGAAAATTATAGGAATCAGTTATTTCCATGCAGCATGCGGTTCTGCCATAGAACTTTACCCTGCATTGCTATAAGGGACAATGTGACAGCTACTGATGAAAACAAAAACTCAAGATATTCTTTACCTAATAACTTCTTTTCTTTACTTAATTGATAAAAAGAAAAAAATAGAATAGAATATAGAATATTTCAGTTGTAAGGGACTTACAAGAATCATCTACTCCAACTGTCTGACCAATTTAGGGCTGAGCAAAAGTTAAAGTATGTTGTTAAGGGCATTGTCCAAATGACTTAGTCATGGACAGGCTTGTCTAAGAAGCCTTTTCCAGTGTTTGAACACCTTCTCTGTAAAAGAAAATGTTTCCTAATGTGAAGTTTGAACCTCCCCTGACACAGCTTTGAACCATTCTCACACATGCTACCACTGGATACCAGGGAGAAGAGATCAGCACCTTCCTGTCCAATTCCCCTCCTCGGGAGGCTGTAGAGAGCAATGAAGTTGCCTTCATCTGGAAGAAACTACATTCAGCATCCCACTGTACTGTCATAACACTAGCCTATATTTTGATAGTGGTCCAGAATGTAAACCTGAGAAGAACCACACTCCCCACCCCACCCTCCCCAGAAAACACAACTTGCTTTTCAATTCAAGAACAAACTAAGTTCCTTCCTGAGTCGTGAAATCCACAGTACTGGCACTATCTTCAAGGTGTGGGTGACAAATATTGGCAACGAAATGTCACTTTTATAGATGCATATTATAAAGTAAACATAGAATCATAAGGAGCTGGGAGGGACCTGAAAGATCATCTCGTTCCAACCCCTATGCCATGGGCAGATACACCTCCCACTAGACCAGGTTGCTCAAAGTCTCATTCAGCCTGGACTTGATTTTTTTTTAAACAACCAAACAATCCCCACTTCCAAATTCCAGTTGTCTGTGCTGCTGTATCAAAGTCTAAGTATTTAAAAAGTGACAGCATAAAGTGCTGGGCTCATGGGATTTAACTGGAACACAGTAACAGATTTTGAAGATTTCCCCAGTGAATTATCTGACAATACATCTAATGAATCTATCTCTTGAACTAAAAACATGCCCATCCAAATGTCCTGGGACAAATCCAGTATCTATCATTAGCAATAAGTAGCATTTAATAAGCATGCACAAACTGCATGTCTGGAAATCTACTAGGGTGTCTCTCTGGAGGCTTTCCTTCTAGCCATCTAGCAGTTTCTGTGAATTTGAACTTGAATTTATAAGCCCTACTATGTAATTGTTGGTGTAATTTCTAAGTCATCACATAACACTTGTGTCTTACAAGCTTGACCTTGCTCTTATATCAGTAAACTATAAAATTGTTTTTCAAGTAATTTTGATCAATTTTCAATGAGAATGGATTTAAACAATTTGCTATTTGTAGTACTATGTCTTATTGTATTGCTTGAATTTAGTTTGTCACGTGTTCAGCACAGACACACCCCATCAACTTTAGAAACTTAAAGGAGATGCCTAAATTGGGAGCAAAGTACAGAAAGCTTGCTCAGTGTGTCAACAGAAACGGACATCTCTACCTATGAAAGATCTAACCTACCTTTCAAACAAAACTCTCCTTAAACTGGGAAAGGGGGACCTTTTCAGAAGGGTTTTTTTAGTTAGCAGCAATGCTTGTATTGTTTCTCTGCTGAAATGCAGGTAGAAAATTGTGAACAAAATGGTTAAGCAGATTGTTTGCTAGAAAACTCAACATCAGATGTGCATATGCCTGTAAAGTTATATATATCTGTTAAGAACATAATTAGAAAATCTTCCTGCTCTTATTTTACACTAAATTTGTCAAATATCTAAATTAAAGATCATTATATTTCCAACGGTATTTCTAGTAAAAATCCAAGCATAACAGCCGTAAGAAGTAATAACTGCAGTCTATTAACCAGCAGGTTAGCAGAAAATAAATGGCATCTTACTCTTGTTCTTTTGCTATTGAGTTTATCGGTGCATTTAGGCAGCTCTGTTTCATTTGCACATCTGTGAAGAGCACTGCTGTGTAAAAGTTAAACGGGCTGTGTATGGAATTTAAAACTTTTCAATGAAAATATGTCTCAACAGCCCTTTCATCAGAATTAAAAAAAAAAATAATAATTTGAGGTCTGTATCTGCTTTTAAAACAAAACACTGCTATTTTTATTCAAGCACAGCAAGCAGGAACAGTTCAGATGCATTTGCATGTCATTTTATTCAGAGGGTACTTACTAGTTCACTGATATCCCATTGCCTCAACAAACAAGGAGACAGTCCTACACATTGCCTTCCACTCTTCTTTGTTTATGCCTTTTCTGACTGCTGTTCTGGGGCAGAGCTCTGAATTTGGACAAGCTCCCTTGCAATGTATCATATGCTGTAAATGTGGGAGTAGAGTGAAAAGGGAGCTTTGAGTACTTCTGCCGGCCTTCGTCTTTACCTCCTGCATTTTACCATCACTCCATCTGAAAGTAATCAGGACCTGTAATGCCATCCTTGATCATAACACTTCGTAACTGGCGTTATTCTACTGGCAGATGGGTGTCAGCTGGAATGGTCATTGCACTCCTGGAAAATGGCTTTCAAGGTAGGCCTCCCACCGTGGCACTGGACAAGGTACAGGACCTGGACCATTTGCATATTCCCTTCAAGGCTGGATCCTCCATCTTCAAGCCAAATACCCTCAACTGTCCCAGATATTTTAGACACCGTTTTCAGTTTGTAGGTTGGTGTGATCCTATGTCCTGGCTTCAGCAGTAGCAGTCATTTTTCTCCTTCTCAGTAGCTGGTACAGTGCTGTGTTTTTGACTTTCAGCCTGGGAACAGCACTGATAACACCGATGTTTTTAGTTGCTGGTCAGAATGTTTACTCTGACCAAGGACTTTCTGTGACTCATACTCTGCCAGGGAGGAGGGGAAGATGGGAGGAAGCAGAGACAGGACACCTGACCCAAACTAGCCAAAGAGGTATTCCATATCACAGCACATTATGCCCAATATATAAACTGGGGACAGTTACCTGGAAGGGCTAGATCACTGCTCAGTTGGGCTGGGTATCGGTCGGCAGGTGAGTGGTAATAAAAGTAACTTCAGCAGAGAAGCAGGAGTTCAGACGGCTTAACTTCTAGCTGTACAAATGTGGCAAGTGTTCCTTCATGAACAAAATGATGAATAGCTAACTGGAACTGCAAGTACAGTTCATGACATTCTGTTTTCACTCAAATCAAACCTTCGCCATAACAGGAATTTACCCATTCAACATTTATATTTGTTACCTTCTCATAAGCTTTTCTCTTTGTTTCAGAGTCCATCCAGTCATTTTCCTTCTCCAACATGTCAATAAAAGCCCAGCGAATTCCTTCAGTCAACTCCTCCATCTGAAAAATATTTAGCAAAATCCTCCCCAGTAAAATATGTCATGGCAGAATCATTGTAAGAAAAGGTTTGATGCATGCAGGAGTAATTGATTTGGTTAGACCAGGAATGATTCCAAATCAGACAGTACCTGCTCTTTTCCTTGAAGGCTAATTTGTTTTTTCTCCAGTTCTCTGGAGAAATCCAGAGGAGTTTCAAATCCAGACACTTCTTCTGAAAATAACTTTCTTTCCATTTTCTTTTCCTTCACATGTACCACACAACCTGTTCACTGCTGATCTTTTCATGTCACAATTGTGAGAACGTCTATCTTAAAATCATAAAAAATACTGGGAGATTTGCAGTGATTTGGGAAGATTTCTGATACTTTGGCTCTAGATCACTAGACCATGGAGAAGAAGGAGCTAGCTGCAAGGCATTTGCACAAACAAAGCCTTTTCTCCAGAAACAGCATCTGTAGCCTTGTTTGGTTTATGTCAGACTGAGACATGCCTTACAATACTGCCAAGGGGTGGAATTTGGGCTAACAGTATCATGATCCAAATACAAAGTAGTATGCAAATATTTGGCCTGTATTTAGCTGTATTTGTGAAGGACTCCTACCCTTTACTTACTGCAGGAACAGAGGCCATGGCTCTCAACACTGAGCAGCCTTAACTGTTTCTGTGGTCTTGAACCACCAGTGACAGCTTGCATTCGTGCAAAGCTAAGGAAACCCACAACCGTTTTATCTTAACTGCTTCTTCAGACATCTATACAAACCCACGAGGGTATCACAGGCAAGTAAAAAAATAATAATAGCAGTGTTCAGTGAGTATGCACATTAAATGACAGAAAACAAGAAATCTAGTCGCTAAGACATGCATTATATCAGTCTAAAGAGCAGAAAAGCCCTCATGGCTATGTATCCACCTGGTAACACAGACCAGAAAGGTGTATGCAATCAGCTGCTTCTATTTATATATCAGTAGATGAACTTCATAACAGGTAGCCACTGAGAACAGTGTGAGAGTGAGGTAACTGGGGGGATCCAGTCATTGCTTGAGTCCCTTAGTACAGACCAAGCCAAAGTTGAGATAGCACAAGACATGACAGATAATCATTGGATGAAGACTTACTGCATCTTTGTACTATCAGTTACGTTGCATTTAATAATAATGAAAACATCAAGTACCAGAGATTTATATAATTTTATTTTATGGATCTAGTAGCTCTGAAACGTGGGGACTAAATCCTGGAAAATAATGTTACCTTTACCTAAATTGCCATATATATATCGGCTGTATATTTTAATCTGGAACTCTTCTTTATTTGTGGTAGAGCCAGACAAAACATAGCAAAGCTCCACTGATTACTCAGTTTTTACTACTCTTTTCAAAAAACATTTTATTGTTTTTAGAGACAATATGGAACAATTGGAACAGGTCTAGCATTAAATATGACTGAACATTCAACAGCCACAGTAAACTGCATCCCAGGGAATAGGGTAACTTAAAGATATTGATGACAGAGCACTGACTCAATTGACTTAGTGCACTAATGAGGTGAACTCCCTCTATTTGCAGGTTGCAAGTTCAAACTCAAGCTCTGCAGCTGGGCCCCGGTGCATACTTAGGTTTTACGCACCAGTTGTAGCTGCAGGGGGCAGGGGGAGAAACCTATTTCTGCTATCAAAGTTATTACTGAAACTGCTCAGGCATAGCTGTAAGAAACACCGCAGGCACTCTGGGCTAGAAACAGTGCTATATTTAGACACAAATAATGTCTTTCTTGATGAAAGGAGTGAAGTGTCTAAGGTATGAAACATCAGGCACAAAACATGAGGAAAAAGAACTCATATTATCCACAACTCAGGATTTGCTTATCATAGACAGATATATGCCATGAGCCAGAAGGAAAAAAGAAAAAAAGATATGAGAAAAAAAGTCTGTACAAATAAGAGTACTTTTCTCAAGTGCCTCCTTAGTGCTTAATAAAGAAAAATAGAACTGAAATCCAGTGAAACAAAAACTATAACACCGCAAATGACTACCTTGAAAGACACACTTTTAAACAGATTGAAACAAATTTCACTTGTATCTGATTTTATCTCCAAGGGCAGGTCGCTACAAGTCTGAATCTTTTGATCTACACTATAAATTGTATATTAATTTCTTACTATGGAGGCTATTGTGATTTCAGACTTAATAGTTTTGCAAAAAGTTGGTCTGAAATGAATATACACACTAAGAAATATTTTAATTAGGCCACATTTCAACAGAAAACCATTCTCTATCGACTTTTCATAATTCTCCTTCCATATACAAACATGAAAAAGTTTTTCATCCATATGGCCTCCATAACGTGTACATTTCTTACAGTCTCTTCCCTCTTATCCTGTGCAGAAGTCATACTGTGTATCCCTGAAATGTATTTGCCACTACACTGGCAAATAGCACATTACAAACTCAGTCAAGAAGCAGGAGACTGACAAACTGGATCTCATAGAGGAAACTCCGTTTGAAGGCCAAAGAAACACCATCTGTAGCAGAAGAAATGCAGGACCTGAGAGGGAAACACATGTCACAGATATTTGGACAAGCCAAATCAGAGTGTTGGTCTGTCTATAATGGAGTCCTTCCCTGAGAAAACAGTCAAACCAGACAAAGTCAAACAGACAAGCTGAGGCTACTGAGCCAGGGCAGTGAAGGGCTATCACAGAGCTTTTGCTCTCAGTGCAGGATGCTATTTCACATGGTTTTGGTGCTCCTGCACTGAGAGCTAAGTTCAATGACTAAATTAGCTGATTTTAAACTGATTATTATTGGGAAATCAATGGCCAGAAAAGCAGATATTGGAAACCTTTATGAGAAAATATTAACTGAAAGTCATAAATTACTGTGAAAAGTAAATAACCATTTGAATATATTATTAAGAGAAGTGATAATGCAGCTATGCTTGAAGATTTAGAGAGAGGATGAATGTCCAGCTAAAAGCTGTTTGCTGAACTCAGCAGCATGGAAGACTATTTTCCTTCACCATGGAGCAAAAGAGATTTGAAAAGATTTGAATCACAAATATAAACTCTATATGCCTCTAAGCTTCCTTTAATTCAGGCCAGACATCAGTTACACTTTTCTTGTTTGGACTACAGGTGTAGCAAAGTCAGCTTTTAAAAGGGTCGCCCTGAAGCAGTCTTGACCAGTCTTTTAACTAGGCAGCTAAAACTTTGAGTTACACTAGCTATATTAAATATTAAACCATTTCTCATCAATACCCCTCACTCTCTTCCTGCACAGCCTGATTGTCATCATTTACACAAATTAATTATGTTCAACCTAGTTTTGATCTGGTTATATATTTGTCTAAAGAGCTGCAGATGGAAAGAATGATAAGTGCCCAGATGGACAGAAAGGTGACAGTTCTTCAGATTTGTTCCACTTTGTCCCTATATTTTTTTCCCCTATTCAAGTATTTTAAAGATTCTTGTCTCTTTTTAAATTTTGATCTAACATCAGGGGCAATTTGAGAGGAGGAAGCCACAGAGATCTCAGAGGACTCACCATCTCTTTCTTGTCTTCTTGGAAATGGGCATTCACAAACATCTTACCCACAACATAAGGGAGAGCATTTTCAACAAGGTCCACACATTTATCCCACTGGGGCAGCAAAGTTGTGGTTCCATGGATCACCTGTTGGCAGGTGTAGATAGTAGGTCATAACATTATACTGTTTAGGAAGAACAAGTCTGCATCTGTATACAGGATAGTCTAAAGTGTGCTTGTCAAATAGTTACTAAAAGGAAACAATAACTATACAGTTATTAACATTTTCATCAAGTGCTATGACAAATCTCTGAGCTCAAGCACATTGCTGCTTCTGTTTCTGTTTCTTATGAGAATAAAGTTACTGCAGATGCTTACCCCCTCAACATTACATTTTCTCATCAAGGTACAAGTTCATTTAAAAAAAAAACATACCATAAGAAAATACAATAAAATACAAGATGGGTCCATGTAAACAATAGCAGTGCTGATTTAGGAAACTCTTTTTTGTTTTCAAGGTTCAAACAGTTCCCTTTCCACTTAAGGAACTTCTTAAGATTTTTCACAGAGAATAAGCAAAATCACAGTTCAGTAGTTAACACCGGTCAGCTATGTAAAAGCAGAATACAGTCAACACCAGACCAGGTTAGGATGGATAGGGATTTTGGCCTTTCACAGATTATGCAAGCCTTTTAAGCATTGATCAGCAGTTTTTGAGCCTTTTTCCCAGTTTTCTCGTCCTTTGAGCTCAAGATTAAATTTCTAGCAAAACTGGAGGTTTTGGATTTGTTGTTTTCCAGTAGGAAAGGATTCCATTGGAAAATTCCAGAGTAGCTTATCCCTCAGCTATTGAAGGTTAGATAATTTGGTAGCTCAAAGACTGATTTTCTCCATCAAATTGTCTGTAATTAAGCTTAATCAATGACTTGTACTTAAAGCCACCAGTGAATTGCATTTTCAAATGCTCTTTATTAATACTGTAGGTTTGCGAATAGATTTTCAATGACAGAGAGAACACTGCTTCTGTAAGAAAACCACGTTAGCCAAACCAATACATAATAAGGTAATAGTTTCCTAAATAGAGCCAAGTTTGAAAACAAGCTCCTTTTCTAAAACATATGACAAAGCATTGAAAAAAAAAGGAAAAAAAAAGAAAAAAAAAGGTAGAGGAAAATTTCTCTCCAAGGTCCAAGCAAAACTACAATAGAGCTTTTTCCTGATGCAGGGAAAGAAAGGGAGTCATGACATTAGTCATCAGAGCTTGAAATTCCTTCCAAAAGCTTTGACTATACATCAGCCGCAGAAAAAGTCAGGAGACAAAGCTGGCTTTTAGAATGTGACGTATTATTATTTCAACACAATAATTATCATTATTTTGAGAGCAGCTAGACTGTAAGGAGGACAGAAAGGCAGCACAGGCTGTGAGACCAATAAAAATAGAGCCTAGAGGAATGGATTATACCTCACAGCTGGTTTATTGATATTTACGTTACAACAGCCAACTAGAACTCCCTTAAAACACTCCTCCTAATATTAATATACCACTCTAAAACACAATACTTCAGGTAGTAACAGCGACTATAAATAGCAGGTTTCAAGCCCTCCCAGTCAATTTATTGCTCCACAGCACAGTTAACTGATCTCTTCCCAGGTGCCACTGCACATTCGCTATGACTCAAAGCGCCACTGCAGAGGAGCTGCTAGTAGTTGCTGATGTGGTAATCAAAGTATTTTCTCTGGAGTCAGCAGGTCTGTCCTATTTCTCAACCTGAAGATTTTTGACGTTTCATCATGCCTTTTTTCCTCTCTTTGCAAAGATTTTAAGTGTCTCAATACAAAGATGTAAAAAAGCACCAACAGAAAGTGAAAACCTAGTGAAAAAATACTATGTTTATGATGGGTGAGGCTGAATGAATGAATTAATGAATTAATTAATTATATCGTTTTCTTTAGGGGTCACTGATTCATCTAATGGTCATGACTTTTAACAAGTCATCCAATGTTTTCTTCACTCACCTGGCAAGAGGTTGCTGGGTTCTTTTTACGATCCCAAAGAATCTGTGTGCCCTTAGTCATCCAGCCTCTGACAGAACAAACCTATTCAAAAAAGCCTTTCAAACCTTTGCCTTGGACTCCATTTCCCATGTCCTTTCTGTTGACCTCTGAAGTCTGTTCCCCTGAGCTGTTTACTGCACTTAACCTTAGCTATTAACTATTAGCTATTGTTGTTTACTGCACTTAACTAACTCTCCATCTCCAGATCCCAGAAAATGGGAATGAGCTGCTGACTCACTGCCATTGCTGTGCTGTTCTTAAGTTTTCACAGCTACTTACATGAAAACCCTTGATGACATTGTTAATAAGGACTGAATCAAAGTGAATTAGATTCATCCTTAAGCTTCTGGAGAAAGTACCCAGTGTCAACAGCTACTTACCATATCAAAAAGCATAATATTCAAAGTTTAAGGTTTCCTTTTAGGAATTTTCCTGGCAATATTATAGTTCAATATAACTCAGTATTATGCTGCAGAATGGCTAATGGCCAGCATCAATCTATTTTACCTGGCTAGCTAGGAATACCCAAGGAGGGGACACACAAACTTGTCGCTGTGATTCTGACAGGCAGTTTCTCATATTTTTGGCATGAAGAAAATGGTATCTTTAGCAAGACTGATTTGAATATGATTTCAGAAATGTAAGAAACTGCCTTTCCTGCATAGATTCCATCAAGATATTTGAGTTAATTTTTAGGCATGTGATCCACTCAGAACTGTTCCACTACTGTTCAAGGAAAGACATTATGGGTGCTTCAATTAGGCACCTGCATGCCTCACTAGGGAGAACAGAGCACCTGCACCTCCTGTACCACATCACTGGCAGCATCATGCCAGACTCAAGTTGTCATAATGTCACCAAGCAGCTAATTTTGTCAATGACAAACAAAAAGTTCACATTTTAAACTATGGTAGCTTGGAAACAAGACAAAGCATCTTTCAGTTTCAGTTTCATCCTTGGCTTGCTTAAAGAGCCTCTATGCTGCCTATAGGATTATCAGGGTGGTTTTCTGTTCAGGCTTCACTTAATCAAATAAATTTGTTTTACATAAATGCCCATATAACTTCATAGATAATTAGGTCTACTCTCACAGACTGGGCTGGTGACTAATGTGTTCTGGGGCTTCTGCAGCCCCAGGCTGGAAGGCATCTGATTGTCTTCTCTGTAAAAATGGTTGCTGTATGTATGTGCCAGAGCTCATGTAAAGCTGGCACTAGAGCATGAGAGAGGTTTGAACAAGCTCAGAGAAGATGAAATCTTAGACTTTAGTTTTACCAGAGCTATATTCATGCATGCATAAACAGTAGGAGTTTTTTCATAAAATTGGATTTTTGGCTAAACAATTTTGGCTTGCAGGAACAGCACAGGTCAGCCCTGGCATTTAACTGGAAAATTTTACAGCTTTCAGGTTTCTGCATACGAAGACTAAGGTTTTTAAAGAGGTGTCTCAAAAACTCCTTAACATAAAAGTTTTCCTTTGTGTCATATGCAAGAATATGTATGTCTTGATTGGTTTAGAGGGAGTCTTCAACAACAAATGTTCATTCAAGAAATTTACCTAGCATGGAAAACATTCCATATTTTGCAAAGGTATAAGCAGCTGTAAGGGAAACCAATATTATTGACACTGGTACTGTTGTAAATGCTATAAAGGCCCTAACTTACCCGAGAAAATTCCAGCCACCGGTACTGAAAACGTCTGCTGAGGTTAAATAACCTTGAATAAACCATCCTCCACACCAGATAGTTAGCAAGAGTCCTGTTAAATTAAACATATTTTTATCAGGCATCTAATAGCATATGAGGTACTACAAAGTACTCACATAAATATCTCTGCAAACATTTCAACTGAATGGTGGAAATTTCACCTTGAAAATTAATGAGTGACGACCAAATTGATAAATCCCTATTACACAGAAGAATCTGTACGAATGCAATCACCTAATATGTAATTGTACCATGATAATCATCTTCTAGGGGATATTTATAATGAGCCAATTTCTTAGTATGTTATTTTCAGGTAATTATTTTGTTTCAAAAGACCCTTTTTGTTTTCTATAGAAGTGGCAAGAAACATGTCATAAGAATAGTTGCATAAAAGTTCTATCCGGAGATAAGAAAATAACTCTTTTTTCTTTTGTAAATAAAAGTGAATGTTATCTCTCTTCATTTCTAGACCACATAAATCATAACTATGAAACAGAATAGATAACAGTTCATCTCAAATATCCTATCAATACCTCATATTTGTATCTTACATTATAAGTTATCAGTATGCTTTTAGAAGTTCTTACTACCCATACAGTTATTAAAGTACTACCCCTCTTATTTTGTCAGATGGATAATTGAAATACCAAAAACTGAGGTCTCGGTAACAACAATCATAAAAAGTGAGGCTGAGAGATCCTGGAAGAACTTGTTTAAAATTCCCAGGAGATCTGACACCCATGTCCCTTTTCTAAAACTTCAAGCGCTTGAATGGAGGATTTATCTAGTCTAGGTTGAGCTCTCCCCATGCTCAGCAGTGGCTCTGTGAGGTAAATGTGCATTGTGAAATATGCAATTCAACTTCAGCCCCAAAACAAGTCCAATAATCACCTACACATATTATTCTCATCTTGTGTTACACAATATATTTTGCATGGATAGCCATTGCTCTAAGGTTATGGATATCCACGTGTTGTTTGCTCTACATTGGGATATATATAACATTTGGGGTAGGCCACAAACTTCTCCATAGGGAGGAAAACTGCTCCTTTGCAACAAATATGCTGCTATGGACTGCTTCTAGCCAGGCTCCAGTACACCCACACAAAGCCTCCAGCTCAGGATATGTTGATGGAAGCTTATACTCTTTATCACCTCCCTGGCTGGGTGACCAAGAGGTGAGAATGGAGAGGTTTAAGGCAAACTATAACTACATATTTTCTATAGGTGACTGAGCACATGATGACCCAGTAACTTCAGCAGCATGTACACATCCAAGTGGGACACTACACCAAGAGCAGATGGGTGGCAATCTCAAGTCAACTGCCACTTCAAAGGCTTGATACTTACTGGTCTTTGTGACCAGTGCAGCTTCTACAGGAGAGTAGAGAATTGCTGTGATGTATATATAAATCCTGCCTGTTATACACTTCGTCTCTCACACTGGACATATTCCATCTTTTAGTATACAGATATATCATATAGTATACACAAATTCCCACAACAATTGTAAAACGGATCCAAAAAAGCTCTTTTTAGCATGAATAATGTACATTTATAACACAGTACATGTTACAAAATTTAAAACAGTTAGCTCTGCTTAGATGATCAAACCATTCTGAGATAATGCTTTAGGGTCATCAAAAATTAATTCCAACCTATGAAATACCAGAAATTATAGATCTTCCATTTAACATATTTCTGACAATGTGGAATTTCCTTACTGAATAGCAACTGAAGCACCCTAAAAATGCTCAGCTCTTGTTGTTTTTGTAAATGACTAGAACTCCACAAGCCTCACAACTCTGCCTCATGTTTTTCAGCAGAGCTGAATAGCATCCATGCTCCTGCTGTAACTACTCTGTGGGTCTACAACAGTACTTATGCAAGTCCTAAAGACTAAAAGGTTTAAAGACTTCATTTCGATTAAAAGTCTTAGGTTAAAAACCCCAGCTAAACAGATCTCTATCATAAACCAATTATAGGTTACAATTCAGTATTTAATTGCTACCAAAAAAAAAAAAAATCAATTCTCCATTCTGTGTGCTTTCTGTTCTCATCCAGTGCTGTTTTTCCTTCTGGTTAAGCTGGGGAATCTCTGTCAAATTGGTAGTGTATAAAAGACTAAAATATGTCAAGGATGAGTCTCCAAAAGGTGACTTATTCACAGACACTAATGCCAACAAGAATTCAGAAACTTTTGTATCAGATGTAAATAATGAAGGCAGCTGTCAGTTTCAGGAAATATCTCACAACTAATTGAGGTTTGTTTTAATTTGGAAAGGGAAAGAAGGCTGACACATCCTAAAACCAAGTCACCTGATGAGATTATAATAATTCCTGATTGCAATCACACCAGAATTTGCCAATGCATAAGATGCAAAAAAAAACCCAAAAAACAATAGGAAGGCTTTGCTTCAAAGCCCAGATATGTCTATTTGATGGAGGGCAGCACAATGGGGGCAAAGCATGAGGGGTTTTGCTGTTGTAAGTTTCTTCGAGGGGCAGTGTTCTTTATTTTGTTTTTCAAAACAAAAAGAAATCATATTTTGTTTGAATTTGTTTACCTATTTTGGGGGTGATCATTTTACCTTTTTGGCTAACTATACAAAATTAATTGGTCATCTTCATTTGGTTTAGAAACCGACACATTTTGGTTAGTAAATGCCAACAGTGCATATCTTGAGGTGATTTTCATCCCAGTTTCACAAGTAAGTACACTGAGGGTCAGGGCAAAATCCAACGCACACATAAAACATAAAAATCTTCTCTATTCTTTCAATAAAATCAGAGCATTTGTTTTTGTAACCTGTCAGAAGAGTACAGCACATAGTACCCTATTTTAACATCAAAAAGACTGTTACAGAAAGCGTAGGCTTGCTCTTAACCAATATGACCATTAGTGTGATACACACTCCCACAGGAAGTGGTAGAGAGCTTGTTTGCTGGGACAGTTAAAATTACACCACATCTTATGAATATTTACTAAGGAACTCTCTACCCTGTCTGGGAATAAAGTATATTGCTGATGTGAAATTTTGTGAATTTGTTAATATTTTAATCAACAGACATTGTAGTAATTAAAGAGGATAGATTAAATATGAGATAGATGGACAAATTACTTGACATTTTAAGAAAAAAATCCCTTTCAGAAATATTGAGATCTGTTTGAAAATCGTATTCAGAATTGAGTCAGGAATCAAACTATAAGTACTGAAAAAATTCCACCTCTATTGCTAGAGGCACTAGTTCAACTCAAGCTATTGTAACTTCTCTCTAATGTTTCAGAGGATGTGAAGACCAGAAAGGAGATCTAGTGCCCCCATCCCTCCCTAAAGAAAATGCCTCTCATGCTTCAGGAATTACAATGTGTTTCTCTATTAATTGTCCTATACTATAAAGATGGAGGGTAAGGTAAGGCAAAGGAAACCAGTTATTCATTCCGACATCCATGAGAATGATTGATAAAGCTGCTTCCTTCAACAGCTGAAAACATTTCCAACAAGGACACAATATACTGTGTCCTCTTTACGGCTTACACATAAAGCCCCAGCACACAGGTAAAAAGGGAAGGGGTATAAGGGGCTCCTAACAGGTGATAGCGCAGTCCTGTTTATTGTCTTACATGGCACAGCTGTATTTGAGCACTGCCATTATCTTATTGATACCACAGCTACATCTATGTTTTCAACAATACTCTTCTTCCTGTAATAGATATAAACTCCATTTAAAATTAGTCAGTACCTTAAAAAACTAAAGAAATCCCTGAAGACTTCTTACAAAGTTTGATTTCAGCACTGAACACCTGGCATGATTTAAATTACCTAGCTCAGGGCTAATGGAAACTCCTGCTAGGCTAGTTACCCAGCTCCTTGGGCAGCTTTCTACAGACAGCCATGCTCCTAGGCTGGATTCACAGGAGTGCCCTGGCTTGGGAATTTCAGACAGACCTCCAAACTACACAGCTGCACATACTTCAAACTCTACACAGTAACATGATTATATGCAGCAGGGTTGTCAAGTAGATAACTTCCTCATTCTACAAAGTTCACTCTACAGCCTCCCAAAGTGCTATTTTCTAATAATATTGCCATATGAATGATGTCACAATTCAAGATTATTCAGCAGGTTCTCCAAGGAAGCAATTTTTAATATGATTATTGTGAGTCCGCACAGCTTGTCACCTTCATCATGAAGAACAGCTCCTGTAACTAGACTTAATTTTCCCTCCATTCTTCCCTCCACCTGAAACAAATTTCACTTCGACAAATCCCTACTTTTTTTCTGCCATTTTGAATAGTACCTATGACAGCAGTTGCTCATCTGGGAAGGGGACACACAAGGCATTGGAATAAAAGTATACTTTAGGGATAGAAGGTTTGTAATGGAAAATGATATGAATTTGATGAAAGTACCTGATTCTTCTAATGACGCTGCATCTCCTGAAATGGTGAGAAGTTAATTGGCATTCTAGTCACTCAAGTAAATCCAAAATTTGGGAATGCTTTACTACAAATTCGATTGGTCTAGATATTTGCAGTAACAAACCAAATTCATGTTGTTTGCATTAATTTAACCTTTAAAATATCATATGGAGAACAAGAAATGAGATTACCTGAAAGAAAAGGCCCTTTCTTAGCTTTCAGAGTTTGCATTACATGGAAATGTTAAGACCTCACTGTTAGGAGTTCGCGTTAAGATTATTTCCTAATTTTCTTAGACCGGATAACAAGGTTACTTCTGGAGCAGACTGTGACATTTTAAGTAACGAAAATCATCATCTAATATATAAACATGATCTTTGTTACCATGCAGAGACTGTTTGGATGGGTTTTACAAACAAGAATTTGAAGCCTGCTTAGGTTGAATTTAGCGCTATTTGCAACTTCTAACATTTCATGATGCAAATTTCTAACGATAAGACTGAGAAGAAAATGCCCAAACCATTATCATCTATAAGATATGCAGCATGAATATACTTCTGCTTTTGCCCACTTCCTGACCTGTGTGAGTCAGGAAGCTGGTATTGGGCTCTGCTGAAGACAGGCATTGCCATTCTCTCTGGTCATTATTCCAGCCTTCCTCTGTCAGGTCACCAGCTGGCTTAACTCCTCTTCAGTACTCAGATTTTCCCTGAATAAGACCTTAACAGGAAAAGTCTCCAGGTATTTACCCTGTAGTTACTGAATAAATTTGTGTTTAAGTGTATTTGTAGAGAGGCAATAGCTAATTATCTGTTGTCTTGCTATATACACATCCTCTTAAATCACCCCTTTATACCCAGTGACATAACTAACTCTGAGATACAAAAAGCATGGACAGCCCAAAATATTTAGAAGACTTTCTTCAGTAGATTAAGATTGGTGGCACACTAATGATATCCGTTAGAATTTTATAAAGAAAGGATGTCTTGTTTATCTGAAGGCAGATCAATCATTTTTATTTTTTGTATTGTTCAATTTCTGTGTTATTTTTACAGGTACTACAAATTAATGTAAACATTCTGTCACTGGAGACACAGAGCAACAATATAATGCTTCTGAATTAGTCTTTTTTTCTGAAACATAAGCTTATTTGTGGCACTACTGCATAATCAGCAAAAAATTATTTTTTGAAACAACAGCCTAACAATATTTTTTTAAAAGCTCAGAAACATGCCTCAACAGAGATCACATTATCATAGAATCACTTGGATGACATCACTAATGATGTTTTGAAATTGGTTGTCATGTTCACATACACTTTTTCATCACACTGCCCAAAGGTGTGTTGCTTCCCTGTGCAAAGCACATCTACTATGTTTAATCTAAGCTACCTGCATGTTGCAACTATGTCCTATGGGTGTAAACAATCTGACAATGTACAAGACCCCATAAAAGTAAGAGATGCTGAATGCACCTGCAAAGAGCAGCTTTAATGCAACACGTTTTCCATAAATTAAGGTGTTGAAACTGCAAATTATCCTGCTACACACAAGCTAATATCTATATCCTCATTCAGACAAAACCAAACAGACTTTTTGCCTAGAGACTTGATTCCAAGATTATCTGAAACACATTAAAAAAAAAAAAAAGTAAATAAAAAAAAAAGAAAAACAGGAAAAGCGATGTCCTCTCATAAATATGCGTGAAACTATCATAGGATCCTTACTTTTTCCTTTCATTTTCTAATATCCTGAATAAATCTTTGAAGTACTGGGGAACACGGACAATCACATTTTCTGAAGGACCTATATCTTTGAGCTCAGGATAGAGTCTGGTGTCAATCACCTTCTTGATGTATCCCAGCCAGTCAAACTGCAATGACAAAAGAGAGGCTGGTTAAAGCAGATTATGAAGACAGATGATTTATTAACTAAAGTGCACCACTGACAGCAATGGTCTCAAATCTTATGAAGACTTTAAAAACTATCTCATTTTGTCTTTACATGTGTTTTCAAACCTCAGTAAACTCGTAACTGTATTTAAAATAACATCTGCCATAATTGAGTACACACATTCCTGATGATGTTCCTTTAATATGCTGCTCTGACCACTAAAGGCAATCTAAATTACATAGGTTAGACATTAAAAGAATAGCTTTGCAATTATTCCCAACGAACCTGTGGAATCATGGCACTAAGCTCCGATATGTTCATTTTATTGTACATCACCTCACTTGTTCGATTTTCGTATGGAATCATGATCTGGGGAAAAAAAAAAATAAATCAAAACCAAACCAAAATCATCAAAATAAGGTAAGTACCTGCTCTTACATTATTACTGTCCATCATAAATCCTAGTGCAGAAATATCTCACCACCTGCTTTCCAAGCAAAACATTAACTTCCTTTTCTAAGGATGACATTTAACTAGGAGAAATGGAACACAGTCCATTGCCAGTTTAACTCATTACTGGGAAATTTAATGAGCTGCATGTCTTCTTTCAACATATTAGACCAATTTTAGCTCTGATTGTTCTAAGGAAATGCATGCTGATTCATAAGAGGTAAAAACATACTGAGACCACTAATATTTATTCATCCCATCATGTCAGGTAGAAGCCAGCTCCAAACTATATGGTTTAAAAGGTCAAATCTGAGATAGGTATGGTGGAATTGCATCTTGTCTCTTGGATTTGAACACTTTCTTGCTACGGCCTGTCTCCATCTGAGGGAAGAGCCAGATACATACAAGTATTTCTTCATTTTACTCCACCATCTTCATTACCAGAAAACCTGGGTATATAGGCCACACATGATCTAAAGCATTCTCCAACTAGGTCTCTCATCTGGGTGACCAGAGGAGCCAGCCCTCAGGATTTTCTCTAGTGCCAAAGCCCAAGGACGCAGCAAAAAGAAACCCTAAACACAAAACAAGTCCTTTTGTAATTGACAAAGGACATTCAGATTCCAAGATGGCAGTATGATTCATAAGAGAAAAAAAAAACAAGCACAAGACAGAGCTCAACATTTTCTCAGTGTTCAAGAGAAACAAGAATTCCTGATGGCAATTCCATCCCTGCTTTAAGGTAAATCTTATATGACAGGCTGTACGCTATGCAGTTTAAAGAGGACAGAGGCTGACGCTAGAGTAACCATACAGCTGGTGGTTCTCCAACCAGAATTCTCCAGTAAGTGCCTGTGGTTTTACTATTGCTCAAGCCACTCAGAAAAAAATATAACTTTCTTCTCCCTTTTTGCTAATTTCATTTACCTGACAAGTCTCTAAACTCTTCTTGAACCTGTCTGTTCCCTTCCTCTCAAATCTTTTCCCCTTCCTCCAGAAATTCAAACCTAATTGAAATCTTCCTTGTACGTAATAAGCTCTCTTGAAGCATGACACTTCTTCCTATATCCAAAGTATCCTTCCTTTATCCTTCCTGTCTCTTCCTGGACACATAAATTCTCCATTACATACATTCACTTAAAATGAATGCAGAGGAACACAGAATATAGTAGAAGCCTAGAAGAAACAAACAGATCTCCTTTGAAATCATGGTAAATGTTTATATAAATCATTGTGCTCGTTAGGGATTATCCAAAACCCTTGTCCCCGGACTCATGCCTAATAATCTAGATATATTTTAAGAGTATTCATACTAAAGGGAAATCAGGTAACCATGAGCAAGTCAAGTGTGGCTTCTTGCATAGTTATGCATTACAGAACCTGAGAACATTACAGTTGCATGACTATGCATTACATGATCCATGTCATTGTATATGGCAACTGCACCTATATATTTTGTGGGTTAAAGCTCTGTAAGACATTTGCTAAGTAAAGCATTAGAGTTACCAGAAGCAGCAATGCATCTTCTTATCACATCACCAATAAACACAAAAAACAGTTTCTGTTTTTCAAGTCTACTGGGTCACTATGAAGTATATGCTCATTAGCCCATCTACACTGCATATCTGAAGCTGAACATTGGACTTTATTTAAGAGTCCGGCAAAATTTCATCTCTTTTGGCAGAGATGGAAACACTGATTTACTACTACTGTTAATGACCCTCAATTCTGTATAAACCACTAAGAAGCATCACTGCCTTTCCTCCTGCAGACTGCAACAGCAGAACCAGGGGAAAAGTACTCTGCTGCATCACCTGTCCTATGAAACAGGTTTCTCTTTTAACAGGATACTCAGCATTTCACAAGGGATAGCTTATTTCTATGGTGATATGAAGAAATAGCTCAGCTGACAGTTCTGCAAATCAGTGTCAAGTTTGTAGCCTTAACGTTTGCTGTTTTCCCAACACTGAGGTTAACTCTTCTCTCTAGCTTTAGAAGAAGTGGAAATGATAGTGGATTTGCAGCTCTGAGGAACAGGATTCCTGCAGCAGCCATACTGAAACAGGACTATGGGGAAGCAGAAACGCTCCTTCAGCCTGCAATAGTCCTAATGCATAAATTAAAATCCACAAGGGGGTAAATAATGTCACCAAGTAAATAAGTCAGAACCAAGTACCAGGTTTAACTCTGCTTAGCTTTACTAAATTCAGTTGGTCTGCTAAATCAAAATTCATGGAGTTTCTCGGCCCCTCTCCAAAGGTGCCCCTTGAAGCAATTCAGGAGCTAACTGCCATGTGACTGTAACCGCTGCCCTCTCGCTATCAAGCAGCAATGTCACACCTCAGTGTTGCACTGCTTTTAGACTGTTCAGAGAATCAGCCTGATCTGATTCTTGAATGCATGGTAAAGTATTCTCAACATAACTGCACATCAGGGACTCAAATTCTGCCCAAGCTCAAAATTATAGAATCATAGACTCACAGAATTGTTTAGGTTGGGAAAGACCTTTAAGATCATTGAGTCCAACTGTAAACTTAGCACAGCCAACTCCACCACTAAATCATGTCCCTAAGCACCTCATCTGCACATCTTTTACATACCTCCATGGATGGTGACTCAACCACTTCCCTGGGCAGCCTGTTCCAGTGCTTGAAAACCCTTTTGGTGAAGAGATTTTTCCTAATATACAATCTAAAACTTCATACACTTGGCATCAGCCCATTGATCATAGGTTTCTAGCTGCACAGTGGCTTTCAATGCATTGGTGTAGATGCACTTCAGTTGAGCTATTGATGCCACCACATTTTGGGGGGAGAAGCCCAAATTCCTACATGACCATTCTCAGGTGTTTCTGTGGTTTCTAATAGATCAATAACCCTTGTGTCTTTGCTGCCGCATGGATCTCCATCCTTTACCTCCACTGAGATGGCAAATCAAGCAACCTTGTCAGCACAGTCCTGCAAATACTGGAATGACAACCCTAGGCTTACCTCTAGTGAGTCTGGTTAACATAGGGTGGCACTGGAACAGGTTGCCCAAAGAAGTGGTAGACACTCCATCAAGTGGTAAATGCTCCATCCCTGGCAGTATTCAAGGCTAGACTGAAAAAATTATTGCTAAGGTTGTTGATATAATGGCTTTTCATTTTGAAGAAGTATTGCACTTTTGTTAGGTAAAAGCTAGCTTCAGTCCTGCATTAGGTTACCAACCTCAGCTATTTTAACTTCTAGTCTTAGAACCGATTTCATATCAGACTCAGCTCGTGAAGCATTTGCTCCCAGAAGCACTGCTGTATCAACCATGAACTGCAAAAAGGCATCTCGATACTGTAAAGAAACAAAAAGAGTAAAATTACCACTGGATTTATTGTGAGCACAGCTGTAGCAGTAGACCAGAAACGCCCAGCTATTGCAAAGTGTATAATACTTTGTACTTTCATGACCTAGCAACCAAAATTGTCCTTTCCTTACATTGAATGCCTGCTGTCATCAAGGAAAAAAGGAGAAATAACACTGTAAACATACTGTGCATAACAGAGAGATACCCACTGTGGTTCACGGAGTATAAATCTCAGGGAATGAAAATGACACTTCTGGATTAGACTGACAACACTTACATCTCTTAAAGTGGCATTAGACAATGTGTATGAAAATCATACTTAACCTACCTGATTACTTTCTACAATTACATTAATTTCTTGGTGAAAGACAGGAGAGCAGTTCTGGTTGTTTACCAGGTTGAAGAAGTACAGGTTAGAGAAGTGCACATTGAAGTGGATAGAAAATGAGTCGAGTCAGATCCAGAGGATTGTGATCAGCAGCACAAAGACTTGGAGGACAGTCACTAGTATTGTACTCCAGACATCAACACTGCCTGAGCAGAGGGTTGGACAAGTTGAACTCTGGAGGCCCCTTCTAAGGAAGAACAAAAACATGGGGACCCCAAGTCTTACAAAAATTTTCATTTGAGAAATTTTGCAAGAGTGTTTGTAGTGGTGGTATTTTCTGATAGAAGATACCCTGAAAAATTTTGATCCAAACAAGCTGCATTCCTTTCTGAGTCTGGAGTTCAAGAAAAAAAAAGCAACAATGGAAAAAATGGAGGGGGGGAGGGGGAATAGTCATTCTCATGTCCTGTTAATGATACTTACAGATTTGGCTTCTGTGGTGTTCTCCAGGTAATCCTCTCGAGATGCAAGAGAGAGGCTTGCTTGGTCGAGCTGTTAAAAATGACAAGCAGCATTCAGTGTGTAAATACATCAGAATTCAAAGGTAGCCCAGTAAGAAACCTTGCAAGGTTTGCTCTTCTGGCAATTATGGTAGATGTGTGAAAACATCTAATGCTTAATACATTGCACCAGCCTAAGTTTCACAGGATTTCAAAACAACAGAAAAATGTTATACTGTGCTGACAGACAATACTTAAATCACATCACTGTGATCTGGGAAGCCTCAGATGCCCCCTGCAATATCTGAGCCACATACTACAGCAAAGAATCACCTACACAATGTATGTGTTTATGACTCTGTTAGCAAGCAGGTAACGCACTAGCACTGGGTCTACAGTTGGTGGTGATGACCATTCATCCTATAGATATTTCCGGGGTACAACAGTCAGCTTGAGACAAACACTAGTCTAGTACATGGACCAAGTTCTCATTAGGTACAGGAGCATATTTGCTGCTGTGTATCTGGAAAGCATCACTAGCCTTTTTGATCAAAATTAGGTTACACTTTTGATCTTCACCCTAGACCAGCACTAAGTGCTGTATTTGGGTTTATTGAACAGATGTACTAAAGCAGCTGGATATTAGCCACAGAAATGACTGCCCTTATGCACAGGAAATTGCTATGCCTCCAGTACACTAGCTAAAAATGTCTGGTAATTCCAGGTGGATCTTTGACTTCTACTTATATTTTTGACTTAAACATGGATCAAATTTGTTGGTCTACAGTCACCCATATATTGGAATAAGGTTCTCAAGGTAATTAAACCAGACCTGAAAGTTCATTGAGATCTGCGCTTAGCCTTTTGTGTGAAATTATTACATGGGAGAATTTGCTTACTATTTCAAGTTCCTCACCAGGCAAAACTCACAGTACAGCATCTATCTTAAAATCACCACTGGAAACTGAGATTTCTAAAAATATTTCAATTCAATGAGGTCAAGTTAGGGTATGGAAGCTGAAGCTGAAAAAATTTAGCCAACATCCAGACTCTGAATAAGATACTAACTAGAGCAGAAAGAACAGTTTTGATGTTTTAAAATTGTTATTTTGATGCTTATTTGCTTTTACAAGATAAGTCTAGTGAAGAGAGACTATATTTATTAAAATAATTTCACAGTCTTTTTTAATCCAAATCCTGCATCATTTATATTTCACATTTTCTACATTTATAAAAATGACCTAAATAAATACAACCTAGAATCTAAAAATGAATTAATGAATTAATTAATTCATTTTTTCCTCTACTTGTTGATGTTCTCAACCTTTAAAGCATACCATAAATAAATAAATAAACCACCCACTAAAAGGAGAGTAGTGATGCTCAGTGCAACCCTGATTCTTTTTCATATCGAAGCAAAAATAATATACTCTTATGCTCTGCATATGTGTGTCCTGGTAATAGTTAACTTCAGATGATTTGATCTATTTCAATTATGTGATTGTTAATAAAATGCTTATCCAGATTTTCCTGGCTGAAGGGTTACATTTGACAACACATTGAAACCAAGAAGCACAAATATGAAATATAAACAAAAAAGTTCACCAACTTCTTCAGCTCTCAAAAAAAAAAAAGAAAAGACCATGTTGAAACCTGAGCAGTTTTATTTGGAATTTTTACTTTTTTTCTGATCCACTCATGATTTTGCAATGCTGAACAAAAAGAATTTTGCAATAGAGCCATTTTCACAGGCATATTTGAAACACTCTGTGGTATTACTCTGCTCCCCTGGGAATTTGTTAAAACACAGACAAAGTCAAATACTGTCGGATACATTCTGCAGATCAAGATTTAGTAAAATTTACAGCAACAGAATACCCTATGGAATAATAGATCATTTATACCACGTAGTGCTTCAGTTATTTAGATGTCTAATTTTTAGGTGCCACTAAGCATACTGAGTGAAGATACTATATAAATATATAAAGGGGGAGTGTCACGAGGATGGAGCCAGGCTCTACTCAGTGGCAAACAATGATAGGACAAGGGGTGATGGGTACAAACTGGAACACAAGAGGTTCCACTTAAACTTGAGAAGAAACTTCTTCTCAGTGAGGGTGACGGAACACTGGAACAGGCTGCCCAGGGAGGTTGTGGAGTCTCCTTCCCTGGAGACATTCAAAACCCGCCTGGACACATTCCTGTGTAACATTATCTAGGTGTTCCTGCTCCGGCAGGGGGATTGGACTAGATGATCTTTCGAGGTCCCTTCCAATCTCTAGCATACTGTGATACTGCCAGGTATAATTTGTTTCCAAGAGACCAGGAACAAGGACATAACTGCACAGCCTTTTGTTGACAGGTGACTTGGCCTGAAATATCATGACAAGAGATAACTAAATAGCTCTCCTGATTCTACTGTTTCAGTTCTTTTAAAGAAATCTCCAGGCAAAGTGGTCCTGACAGGATCTGAACAATGTCTTAGCAGTGTGACATCTTTAATACAGAGAACTGTTGATCTGCTGTTGACCTGACTATTCAGGAAAATGTCCTAGAGATGGGGAAAAGTTACCCTTCAAATATATACCAGGTTAATGCCTCAGTCAAAAGGCATTTCAAAAACTGTCTCAGAATCAACATCCACTCTAGTACCACCACAGTTAACTGCTGTTTGATCCTCAAGTACAGCGTATTCCTGACTACATCCCTACAACTAGCCAAGATGCTAGCAATGTAAGGATCATAGATCCTATTTTGCTGTGATGAATGGCATCATAACTTTCTTCTTTGTCCTTTCGCTCTTGCTTTCATAAACTATTTTCTTGTAGCAATGTAGGGCTGGTCTGCTCTGGCTACTGATCTCTACTTCTTAAACAGCAATGCATCCGGCCCAGGCAATCACTCTTGCCACAGTGACATCTCACAGTAATAAAACTCTCCCTGGAGTTTTGTCAGACTACAGTGAGGAAACATTTCTAGGGTCTTTTTCTCAGTAATCTAAACTGTTGTGTAATGCCATGCACTATTAACAAACTGGTAACCCTTTGGTCCAAAAGCTATAACATTTCAGTAACAGGATCAACCCTGTATTTCAGGTTTAGTAGTGCTTGGGATACACCTGTGTTATTATATGCAGTGTAGGCACAAAGCAGTGTGTTTCTATCTCAAGAAAAATAGCTCAAGCTATATGCTATTGGTGCATCATTCTTCATCTTCACAAACACAAAACATTCTTCATGTAACTGATGAGTCATAAGCAGCAGTCATAAGCAGCACACAAGAACACCACCTGGACTAGGTGTGCACCTTTCTCATTTTCATGTACCTACACCCTGAACATTGGTCCAATGAGAACTTTTTACCTTGTTTGTCATTTGAAAGAAGAAAATATCCTTTACAGAAATATTTTTCAATAGCATGTGGTTCCTACCTTCCCACAAATCACCTCCTATGTACATCTGTAAATCAGTAGATAACACCAACAATAATCAAGTGTAAACATTTGGTATGCAAACATGTTTTTTAAAAAATGAGACCACAAGATACCATGCAAAGTAACCCATTAGATATGTTATCCAGTACCTTCAGGATATAACGATTGGAGATTTTGTCATCAGCAGCCACATATAAACGGATGAAGACAGAGTTACTGTGTTGACCACGAAGAGTTGCCAAGGCTTGGACTAAGCTAAACCTCCTTTCTGACCATAGCCCTTCAGGTCCAATGTTGGATTCCAGCACAGGCCACTGGAAAGGTGAGTGTCTCAGTATACTTAACAGGGGTTTCACGTCAGCTTTTTCAATTTTATCTGAAATGTCAAAGGATGACAACAATTACATTCCAGACAATTCAAATCCAGTGGCAGCCGCACAAGCACAAAGATTTATCGGTGTTGATTGACTTCTAGGCAAGACAAAGCACAAAAGCTGAAACCCAAAGGCTCTGCTATTCCTGTAAGCACAGAAGAATGGGAGTCCAAACCAGTTTATCTGCATCAAGAAAAAGAGAGACAAATCAGTGCCTTTCAAAAAGGGCAAGGGCTAGAATTAAGTAAATTAAAAAAAAAAAAAAATAGAAAATCCTCACTTAAGAACTAGCATAGGAACTTCACTATTTCTGGGAGGGAGCTATTGTACGTAATCAAAGCTAGAGAGGTCAGCATCTTGGCACCGAGGTTGCAGGGCAGGCTGTCTCAATTGCTGACAGTCAGTCTCAGGCTGTGCTGTAAGAAAATTGTGCAGGAAATAAAGTCTGAAAGAGTCAGGACAAAGGGCACTCCCAACTCATCTTTCACCCATGCAGCTACATAAAGGTAGTGATGTGTCCCAGATTAGTGTGCATCACCTTACAGCAACATTTCAAACTCAGGAAAATCATTCCACATATGTGGCTATATGGGTCCTTCTCCAAACTTGCTTGGCTCATTAGTTCATTTTAAGCTAAAGAGTCATGGGCTGTCTGTACCCAGCCCTGTGGAAGAGTTTTGATTAAGTAAATTTAAAGAAAGGTAGAAGATACTAAGCAATAGGGTCTTGAAAGTGTCAGTATGAGATTTCATCAGAGGATTCCTCTGATTTACTAGGCGCTACCCCCACAACTCCAAGGCATGGTTTGGCATACTTTTGCAGAGGTAAACATCCCTTCACAGTTTTCTGACAAGCAGAGGTCTCCATAAAACTGACTTCTTGTTCCTTGGTGTACCTCAGTCTTGATAGACACCTTCAGAAATATGTAGAAAATCCTCCATGTTCAGTTGAATCAGTGAAATCTGTGCCTCTGCACAAAGCTTTACTGTCCTCAGCAGAGAGCAAAAAAGCCTGCTTTATAAACACAGGTAATATATATGTGTTCCTCTCAAATCAGGCCACTTACTCTCATTCATGCAGGATGCATAAAGGATCTTGGCCTTCTGCACAGCTTCACTGTCTCGCCTTTTGCTGATGGGTTTCTCAAGCAATGCTGAAAAAAAAACAAATTAAATTATTTTCAATGCATCAAAAAATGTAGAAACTGTCTGTTTGTCTGTCCCAGCATTTACTTTAATCGTAGCGTTTAATTAAGGTTGAGGTTCCGTGTATATTTTCTTAAGCAGTAACAAAGACATAATTGCACTTATTTCGATCCCCAACAGAGAATAACTATTTATTTATTTATTTTTAAGAGGACAGATTTAAAGGCAGGTAACAGATACTGCGTATTACTCATCCTCTCAAACGGCAACCCTTAGCAAAATGAGTGGATAGTGAATCACGGGATGAGGATGGGAGGGAACCAGTGAATAGGGCAGGGAGGCAGAGAGTCTTTCAAGTGGCTCAGCCTCTGGTGTTGGTATGTTATGAAATTGGGGTCTAACAGAGATGACAGAATCCCAGGAACGAGACCAGTGGCATTCACTTTTGCCAGATCTGCTGCTGTTGAAAAAAGTAGCAGAGAACTACCCTGTGGCTGTCAAACACACACAGCCTCAGTCTTGTAAATGACAAAGATGGCCAAGTGTCCAACTATTACCTGAAAAGCTACACTACATAGCTCCCTCACACTGTGGGTATCAGTCTCCTTGGTGACTGAAAGCCAAACTAGCTTTTCTAAACCATCATCTCTCTCTACTGCTTGCATTCCCCACATTTCCTTATGGAAGTGTAATAGCGTGAAAACTGCATCTGAATCTGAGCAGTCCACTTTCAGCTTCCTCAAGCCATTTTATCCAAGTTGTAAATCAGCCATGATGCAGCTGCAGATACCCATACTACAACTAAATACAGAGGCAACTTAGCTTCAACAAGATCTATCTGCTTAGGTGCAGCATAGCATTAGCGCTTCCATGGTGAAGAGAAGCAGAGTAGTACTTAAGCACAGCACAGAAACCTAGTAAACCCTGTTGGACCTCACCTGGTTTTGTAAGACCCAAACAGGTCCTGCACAGCATTAGCTTATTGTTACTAGGACTACTGGAAAGAGTGGCTTTGCTGGAACCATCCAAGTCCCTCCTGCTGAATGCTCAGCCAGAGCTAAAATGTCTTAAAAAATTCAGAAGTGCCTTCTCTGTGCTATGGTTTCAAATGAGTAAAGGCACAGTGCAGATTGGCCCTGTGTATTGAGCTAAGAAGCATGCCATACACAAAAGGGGGAACAATGTGCAAAAGAAGATTCCCAGGTCCATACTGCTGACCTCAAACTGTTTAGTAGTCAAAGAATGCCCTGGTGATGAGAAAATGCTACTTGTATGCTCCCTTCAATCCTTTTTCTCCTTAAAAAAAAAATAAAAATAAAACCACAACACACCCCACCCCCCAAAAAAAAAACAAACAAAAAAAACCAACAAAACAACCAAAACCAAGTCAAACTCATTTGCTTGGATCCTTGGGAGATGTAATGAGATCCTTCTCTCTTATTTATAGATAAGATTTTCCCTAAAAATACTGCTGGATACAATTCCCAATAGTTTTGGCTTCAAATCCTCAGCTTGTTAAATACAATATAATGCAAATCATCAACACATATCTTCAATGTCCACAGTTCTTAGTAGAATAATTGGACCTGTTCATGTTTTAAGAATGGCATTTTAAAAGAAACCGTAACTGAAACCTCCATTAAACTGAGGATGAAAAAAATACACTCCTATTAAAGCCGTTGCAGTAACTTTTGTTCCTTGCCAGTGAACTGCACAGCCATGAAATTTTGAAGCTAATAAAATTCAATGGCTGAAGCCCAGCTAAAGCTCAGGAGAGATGCAGAGGATGAGATTCAGTAAAACAAAATAAACTCTAGGAATACACTTGCATCAAATCCTGTTAAAATCAGACCTGATGTTTTCCCATCAAGCCATTTTATTATGCAACAGAAGAAGCTGTAACACTCCTTGCACTATTGCAAAGGATGAGGTAGGGTAGATGCTGTCAATTTGCTAAGAATTCATTTATGAAGAAAATTCTTGGTTCTGATGATGTACAGTCCAGTGATCAAACAATGAAAGCTTTGATAAGGTTGTTGAATCCTGCTGTCACTGATATAGAGGATGTGATCCAGGAGTGCTCTTCAGGCTATGAAGTTTTCACAGCCTTAATCTTAAGCTTCCAGAGAGATTTATAAGCTCAAACTTGGAGCAATGGTTACATCCACTTGATTTCTGCATTAGCTAGTATAAAATCCAATACAAGGTCTAGAATTTCACTTCTTATTTAACTCATAAATACATATGGATTTTATATGTCCTTGAATATCTAACTTCTTCTTAAAGAAGAAAAGGAAGAAAAGACAAGAAGCAACGTATGCTAATCAAAAATATGGGTAATCAATTAGGCTACCTACCATTTGCTGTATCCATAGAAAGAAAGTCAGTACTGTGAATGAAATCAATGTAGACACATCAAGCTATCTTTAAATTAGCAATGTCAGGTACTGTGAGTAGCTTCGCCATAGCAGCAGGTTGCAGCAGCCCCCCTCCTGCACTGAGCATTTCTGATCATGTGGGTCAGTGCATGCCAAGTTCTGCTGCACAGCATTCTGGAGAGCTGGAGCCCCTCTGAAAAAATTCAGCTCTTAATTATATCTGGCTGGAAAGACGCTTCCCACCTTGAAAAATTTTAATGGCTTCAGATACTTTCTCTTTGGACACCAGAATGAAAGCAAAACCTACAAGGTTTTCTAAGGGATAGGAAGAGAAAGACCACCACAGATCAATTAATGTTCAGCTTCATGAGATAATCACAGACCTGCTGTTTAGTTCCCCACTCTGTCTTTCCAATCACCTGCTCTCACCACTCACTAGGGGATTCTGTATTTGTACAAATACACTGAGAAGTTCAGTTTAGCACGCTTTTCTCAAGCCCAGGAGCTGGAGTTAAAAACTGTGGCCAAGTTAGGGAGATCAGGGTTACCAGCATTTTGACTAAAGCAGTTTTCTCAGTCCTGAGAAGGATATTGAGTTTGTTCTTATTGCAACTTATTTCTTTTTCTTTAACCTAGCCTTCTTTCAAATTAAAAGCTCCAATGCCCTGAAGCAATATTCCAGTTTAGGACTCCAAACATTTATTTTTAAATAAGATTTTTTAGGAACAAATTGTTTTTGGCCAGACAAGAAACACACAGCACTCCAATGATATCAAAAAACAGCCCTTGAAATAATAGTTCATTTGTTAGTTCCCAGTTAAATGTCACAGTTCTAGAGTTGGAATCTAGCTTTAGAGATTAAAAAAAACCACAATCTAAGCTGATTTACAACCTTCTGAAAAAGAACAGAATCATTATTAGCACGAACCACAATTTAACAACTTATTGCAGCTACTGACCCACAACACCAGCCTGCCAATAATACGAAGCAGAAAATCACAGCAAAAAGTCACTAGGACATGCAAAGAGAGCCAGGGTAGCTTAAGCCACTTTGAATATAAAGTCAATGATCATTGATGTTTCCCCACCCAAACATGAAGTACATATTTGAATGCAAAGCAGCTCTTATTTAGTCATATCTCTTACTTCCTTCACTTTCAAATTAATTCCGAAGTCATTCTTTAAGACAAAAGGGATCTTGGCCTGTGCTCCTGATCTCAGCCCCTAATTGTCCATGTTTCCATATGCACAGGATGTCCACACACAAAATTTGTGCTTTCCTTCACTTAAAACTTAGTTATGGCAAGTGTCAAAACCTAATGGTAATTCTGCTCCTCAGCACTGAAATACCGTAACTCATCTTATTAAGCAACTACCACTTATACAGTCAGCAACTGGCTAAAGGTGTTCATGATATCTTAAAATTTCTGAGGTTGTAAATTGTTTCATCATTCATTTTCTTCTACCCAGGGGATGAGGGCAGGGAGGTTGCCATTGCAAACCAAAGTTCTTACACTTGTGGCAGCCCAGGTTGGCTTTGCATCATAGTTTTCCCTGGCTCTTGTACAAAACACAAAGACTCAACATCACCAACAACAAAACACTCCATAGCTGGGAATGACCTTCAGTTGTCTGAATGGTAGATGCTCAGATAGACAGCCAAGGAAGAAAAGCCACAGCTGGGATAGGGGCGTGGGGAGCTGGGGTTGGGAAGGGAAGGAAGAGAGTTTAAAGAGTTTATATTGAGTTGCCTTCAGACACTTTTTTTTTCCAGGGCAAGAGCACTAAAAAAGGCCAGCTTCCTGTGGTTTACTACCCTGCAGTAAATAGCAATCATCTGCTGTTAAAAGTGAGAGCAAGGCACTTTACAAAGTAAGCTTTGCTGGTGTGTGTGTGTTTATTTAACTGCATACTATTCTGAAGCTGCTAAGAATAGTCTTGTGGCTAAGTGTCACCTTTAATCTTACTTTCCATTTCTAGCCCTTGTTGATTTTCCAGCCTACTGTCTTTCAGAGCTTCACTTTGGTTTTAAACTGCTGCATTTTATTTACAGTACTGAGAAATCCTGTACCTTTCTGTCTTCAGACTTGGAGTGCATTAAAAGGGGATTGTGCAGCCAGATTTGCAGGGAAAAGAATCATGCATACCATTTATTCAGATTAGAAATATTGATTCAATTTATCAGTGTGATCTGCAAATTGCATATATTCTATACACTATCAGACAGTATTCTAACATATACAGTTGAGTTGCATTCTTGAGAGACACTGTGATTTGCTAAGCTATTTCTTGTTCTAGAGCGAAAAAAAGGAAGATTTCTCTGCAATTTCCAACCCCAGATATGGAGAATACATTGCGCTAGTAAAGATAGTAACACCTTTTTTCTTTCCATTATCCTTCTACAAACATCTTCTGTATGTGGAAAATGCAAACTGAAGTCTGCACAGTGATATAAGATGGTGATCTGAAATATATTATAATACTTTATATCTTGAAAAAAAACCCAAACAACTGCATGTGCAAATGTCCCAGTGGGAATATGCTTGGGCTTCAAACAAAAAAACCCAAAACTATACAAGAGTCGAAAGGGGACATCCCATTTCCTCCAAAGTTGTAACTCGGGAAGAGTG